CAAAGTCAGTGCGTACAAAAGAAAGTTCAATTAAGTTCTTAGTTTTAGGTACAGACTCCAAAAATGACTGAAGGTTTCATTAGGCAGGAAACAGTCACAGAGGTTTGAACTTTAAATCGCAATTAGCTGAACTCTGTCTAACTGGAAAGATTTTCCAAGGAAAACCCCTCTTTCTCTCAGTTGCCTTTTTACATTACTGCCTGCAAACTCATTCATGGGGCAAGCTGCTCTATTGCTGCTTGGGTGGGGTCAGCTCCGGCAGCTGTAGCAAGGGAGGAAAATCACAGCCAGCTGCTACCAATATTACTTCTGATGCCACTGTAGGGGGGCCTGTGATTTGGCAGGGAAAAATCTGATAAACATTCAGGACTGACACAATCCACTCTGCCACCAGTATTAGCAGCAGCTGTAATGGTCACTGATAATTACAGTGTCTGATGGCTTTGATTACCACCTCCCTGGGAGTGAGAGACAACTGCATGTTAACAGCTGATGAACTTCTGGTCTAGTCTGGAAAATGACTAGCAGCTACACCAAACTGGCTTCATGTCTGTAGTTGTCAATAAGCCATGGAAAATGGTCTAAACCAGCAGATATATCACAAAGACATCCTTACAGATAAAGAATGAAATAGACTGTGGATGTGGGTTTTACTTGGAGGCAACCATGATATGTGTATCAGAGATGTGTTGGTGACAAACCCAACCTCTCTTGCTCCTCTCCCTTTGCTGGCCTTCAGTTTGAGGTTTGAAATTCTTTAGTCTAACACTTCAGTTTAGTGTTGAAAAATTAAATTTCATAAAGCATGCTCTCAGTTACCAGCTGATACTAAAATATCGTGTCTTCTGAATAGCGTGAATTGTTCCAGTACAATGTTGTATTGTTTTCAAAGTAGACAAGATTACTGTGGTGGGTCATGTTTGTTTCATGATTATCTTCTCTGTGAAGTTACAGTTCACAGGTAGCTATGTACATTTAACCTTGGTTCCAGAAAAAGCAGTTTTAGAGGAGAGTTTGTCAGAACACCTTCCCTTGCTCTCTTGCATAAGGTTCTTTTTTTTTTTTTTTAAAAAAAAAAAAAAGTTTTGTAAATAATGGAATAATGGAATACATGTCATGCGAAGCTGAGAATTATCATCTCTTGTCTGGACTGTATTTTCAAACACTTATCCATGAAGACAGGAACAGAAATGCAAGGCAAGAAGACCAGAAAACAAATGGAGAAGCCTTCTTATAGCATTTCTGGAATTCTGAAAAACTTAAGTTCTTGAGATGACTTCTCCTCTCCTTATATAAGAAGAAGCTCTACATAATTTTTTCCCTGCTTCTCCACAGTGCATTCCACTACCAGTCAACTACATTCAGAAATAAAATTATCCTTTTATCAAAGAAAAAATAGTTACCAGAGGTCTTCAACTCTATCTTCTTATTCAGTAGCATGATCACCAATACCCAAACTGTCCCTTAAAGATGTTTATCCAGTCTGCCCTCACCTAATCTGTCCTTGAAAATTATGTCTCTTAGCAACTTATTTTCAAACCTAATTACTGCTGCTGTCTAGCCACTCCTTCTGAACACTATCTCTTCTCTGGCAAGTACATTGTCATCTAGAGTTGTTTACCCTTTGCTTTTTAATTAACCCATATCCCACAGAGCTCACCAGAGCTTTTTCCTCTGGTATGTCAGCAGTATCGTTTTTATTTTTTCTAACTTTTCACGTATCTATAGGCTCTACTCATATTATACCTTAACTTGATTGTTGCTGCTATCTTTTTTATTCCTCATGTAGCTTCTCCTGCTTCTGACAGTTGCTATCCAAATTGGTGGAAATGTCTGCAGAGTTTTACACTAGGTTCTTGCTTGTATAGGTTTCAGATTTCTTCTCTGTCTTAAATTCTTCAAGGATTCATGCTGTCTGTATAGCTAGTTTTAGTTGCTTCCTGCAATCCACCATGTTCCTTGACATATAACCAAATATCCCTTTGAGATGTACATTTTTCCTCACTATATTTTCCTGCTTTCTTTCATAAGTTCTTTCATTTGAAATGGCTGTTGTCCTTCAATTAAAGCATTTTTTTGTACCCCTTCATGAAATTCTGGAGAACCCATCTTTTCTACAAGTATTTCAGCAGTAATGCGCTCATGATTCTGTTGTTCATACCTGACTATCACCATCTCAGGACATTTCATCCTGCTGGTATATTCTTGCTACACTAGAACCTCATGCATGTTTAGGTGCTAGATGAATAACTGCAATATTAATATTGTCTTCAAGTCCTGGCCTATCAAAGTCATGGGAACTGTTCTCGAAAGAAAGACTTACCAAGTATGGAGGAACATTTAATTTAACCTTGGCTAGATCTACCAGTGGTTTTAAAAGCATTTAGTTAAAGTTCTTCCTCAATTGTATGATGCTATCTTTCCTCATTAAGCCTTTCTCCGACTTCCTGTTTTCAAGGTAATGGTTCTGCATTGTGGTGAACACAGGTAGCTAAACAATCAACAAACATTTCTCCAAAGACTGCAAGACAATCCTCTGCCATGGTTTGTTGGCTCTATGTGTGAGAGTATATCAAGGGCAGGTATATAACCTTTCTATTAAACAATGATGGAAGTTCGAGTGATCAATAAAGTCTAGTTACTTTGCAGCTTTGGGAAAATAGCCAAGATACACACTGTAAGGACTAACTGAAAATAAACTAGCATAAAGAGCTTCTTCAAACTGCTTTATTTACATGTTTACATAACAGATATACAAGCTAAGAGGTGGGCAGGTCCCTTCCTTTGTGACTGGCTGATAGCTCTAGTAGCCTTGTCTCAGAGGCTTACACCTTGTACTGAGGCTCTGGCAACCTCTCCAGTGCTAATAGCTAAGCTCCTATCTCCCACTGGTGGACTTATTCTCCCTCATTTCATTTAATCTTTACTACTAGTTCTATTCCAGCTTCTTCTAGTTTGGGGATCAAGATTCTAGATTTTGCTTTGTGTTAATCAAGGAAAACTTTGAGAGAAATATTTTACAAATACATAACACTCTCAGGGGAAAATCTCCCAGGGGAGAATCATCATTAACCAAGATGTCAGCATCTATATTCTCCATCTGGACTCCTAAGACAACAAAAGTCACATTAATACAGTGAACTCACATGTCAGTGACAGTATGGTCACAGCAGCACAGAACTCAGGATAAATAAGCTTTTCAGCTGCTCTCTATATCTCATCTTTCATTTAGTAATCATGTTAACAGAAATCTCAGGTCCTTTCTATTTCTGCAAAATTCTGTACTAAAAGAATCAAAATTCCAATTCAGGAGCCGATCTCAATTTTGTATTCAAGCAAGGTATTTCCCAACAGCATTGATCACTACTCCATGATACACAGCAAAGACACTGGCTTAAAAAAGAAATTAAACCCGCCATCAACTAGTTTTGAAGTCATTACTGACTACAAAGTCATGCTGGAACACACTGCATACCAGCTAAAATGCATTGTAGCTACAGTCTAATACCTTTCTAAGCCATTAAAGAAACTTCCCTGTGGGGCATATGTGAAGTCTGACATGCTTATTTTGTAACTATGCTGAAGACTAGATGATGGGGTTTTCTGCTATGTCTCACTGTAAAAATGCATTACTCCCAGAGTCAGTGCAGACCCTGCTTCTTTAGAATGTTCCTGGCAGCTCATAAAAGGAGAAATCAGTTTAGCAGGCGGTAACCAAATAATTATAATACTTATACAGCATAGAGACTTGGACCAAGCCAAGGTTTTAAACACATCTCAGACATATATTTGCCTACAGTACCCCTACCCTTTCTCTAAGGGCTTTATCCATATACCTGATTTTAGCAAGAGCATTTCGGTATAACAGACAATTTTAAAAAGGAAAGCAATGAGGGTGCTTCAGCTATCACAGATGCGCTGGGAACTGTTCATTCTGACACACCCATTCACAGCTCGGCAGCACTGCAACCATTACAGAAGTATCCACTGCTGCTCAAACAAGTAAGATATGTATTTACTATACACACACACAGAGCCCTTGGGTGACAGTAGCCATGAAAAATGTATTTTGTTAGAATCCTGGAACTGATGAGGAGAAAAATAATGTAGAAGTGTAATTGTTATCCCTAACCACAAAACGCCTCGAGGCAGCTGCTATCACAGTGAGAGTCTGCTAGAAGCATGGCCATTCCCCTCAAACACAGTTGAGCCTGCACCATATGAAATTTCAAAAGCATTTTATCATTTTGGACAATTTTTTTTTCTTTCTATTAGCATTTCATTTTTAATCACAAATATTTGAAGCCAATAACTAAGCTACATATAGTTAATTGATAAACAACTGAATTTTGTTGTCACTTCAAACCCCTCTTTGTTCCAAAATCTCATCAGTCAACCCCAATAAACCTCAAAAAGTCAGAAACAAGCATGCTTGGCATAAAGGCTCTCCAAATTTCAATCACAGATCACTGCAGTTTTATTTCTGTTCATAAAGGCTATATCCAAATGTAGTACATATTAGCTCTTAGTTCCGCCCATGTAAACTCCAGAATGCAGTTTTATGGTGGGGAGGAGGGGGGGCACGTGTGTCAGTCCCCATCTCCCCCACCCTCCCTCTTTTCTTTACTGTCTGAAATGGAGCTGGGAGACCAACCAAGTATGTAACAGCAGCCACATTGTCAAAGCGAGTTTTACTACAGCTATTCTAATTTCCCTAATGTACTTCTGTTCTTAGTTTAAACTTAACTTTAATGATCTACAAATCACTTTTTATACATATGAGGTTGCTTTTTACAAGCAATACACAGCTTTCCGTGATTGTACAGACTAGCACAGCTGAGGTTACAGTTCTAAAGCATCTCTGATAACTCCTACAAATGGTAAAACTTTATATAAAGAGAGACACAAGAAAGCTGCTAGTTATCTAGTAGAAAGGCTCTTGCTGTCTGAAGCATAAACTTACTAACAATCATAAGTGTTTTCATTCATAAGAAACTTACGTGTTTCTGTTAGACAAAGCTTCAGCAAACATAATCCAAAAGTTGCCCATAGTGAGAAGATGGCCATTGTTTTCTTGGAACTGTTTTGCAAAAAACAGAGATCCTTGCAAGCTGCAGAAAGAAGAAAAGCCCCGATGCTTGTTAAGCCTGCAGCCAATGTGTCTGAAGTTTGCTGCACGTTTTATTCTGATTCAAAGGAACTGAAGTAATGACATAACTGGGAGGGGGAGCTCCATCAAAAGTCACACCCATATTGCAACAAAAGTTACCCAGCAGTGGAAGAAGTAGGGGTGGGCGGGTGGTTAGTACTGACTAAGCAGCCACACTTGAGTTTTAAAGAGGCACTGAACCTTCTCTTACACAAGTACAGTCAATAGTTATACTTACTGAGCTTGCAGGAAAATTTGTGTAATCTCTCGCGAGTTAGCTCAGAAAGGCACTGTTTGTTATAAGCTTCCCCTTCTGCATTATAAAATATCCTCATTAATGCAAACCAGGTGAACATAAAGCACTAGAATTTCTGAACCCCAGCAAAGCATCTGCAACTGCCTGGATGTTTCCCCAGAATATTTTGCTTATTTTGTCCCATCTCACTGTTTTGTTTTTTTTTTTTTTTTTTTTCAGTTCAATTTAGAGCAAGTAAAATGTGTGCTCAGTCATGAACCTTTCTAAAATGTTTTTGTTTGTCCCTGAGGGAAAACCTCATGCAGAAGGTAAGTCAAGGTGGTTCAGTCTCTCACAGCCCATTCAACTCTTGGCTTCCCTGCACAGGATGCTCCAACAAAAGTGGTAACTAATGCCAGTGCCAGCAGTGATGCTGAGGACTAAGGCTGGTATTTTATTGTATTGATGATATGAGGTACAGAAGTAATTATTCCTCCGATTGCCAATTTGCAAAGCAGAAAAACAAGATGAGAATGTGTGACAGTCTTTGACATTCAGACAAAGTCTGAGTTCCTGAGGGATATATGTTCATTGCAGTGTGGGGTGCTGTGTGACTCTAGATGCCACTTGAAATCCATGGTGAAAACCTCAAAGCCTCTACACATAAGTGAAAGGAATGTCTGTTGTGTGCCCTGGTGATTTCTCAAGGTTCCTCCATACACTGGCCTCTCTTCAGAGCTTCAGAATTGTGACTGGTTTATACGCAGCAGCATGAGGGGTTGGTCGGGGATCACCAAAGCCAGTACATCTCACCTTTAACAACAAACATGTGGCAACAACTGACAGCCAGTAATGACCTGATTTCAGTTTCACTCAGCAAATTTGAAGTTAACATTGCTGTATCAGATCACCATTTTGTCGATCCACCCACTTGAAGAATTTTCTCATTAATTTTTAATTTCTGTTAACACAAACAGTGGAAAAATACAGACAGGTCTTTCCAGCCACAAGCACAAGAATGTTACACAAAGAGGTTTTTCCAGACTTTGTCTTTTCTATGACTTTTGACTTAGAGATGGCTGGCTATCCTTTCCTCAGTCAGCCAAATTTTTAGCAACAGGTTCCAACAGGCTTTTCCTACAGGTCTAGAATATCTGATGGGAGAAGGCTAAAGTGAAAACACAGAGGATCTTTTTATTAAGAAGCTAACAACTTTGAAGTTGCAAATAAACCCCATTTTATTTAGTTAATATGCTACTTTTTCTTTTTTAAAAAATGGCTTTAGAAGCAAGGAAGAAACAATCTCCTATACACTTTACTGTTTATAGTAGTGGAAAATAAATAGTTCTGTGAATTCCTGTATTCTTATAGCCATAGATATTTTGGCATCAAAATATATGAATGAAGTTTAGTGGGATTTAAAATGCTGGTACACAGTTGTTGTAAGTTCACTAAGCACATCTTTTTCTTCAACTGCTAAATTAATGTTTAAATTCACCCCCATGGATGAAACAAAATAATGGAATATTTAATGAAAATTTAGGTATCTTTGACTCTTATTTTTTTTTGGTGAGCATAAAATACCTCTCTGTTAAATTCCTGTATTCACAATTATATGGAATGTAAAAATGAAAGTACGTTTTCTTCGGCACAGGTAAATGGAGATTGATGTCCATTTTGGGGATGTGGGCAAGTGTTACAGAGGCAAAAGCCTTATTTTACCAGGAATGGAAATTCCTAGTCTCTTTATGGTCTGAAGTGTCTAATTCTAGCCCTTTTTGACATCAGATTATGAACAGGTTGTTCTCTTAATACTGAATATTATTTGATATGCATCTTAGATTTCTCAGTACCTCTGTGGGTGTTTGGTGGAGGTGGGTGGTATTGCGCTTCGGAAAGTCTCTTGCTGTTGCCCTATAAAACTGGGCCAAGATCAGGCACATTTAGACCAGGTGCATGGATGTGCTAGTACCTAATGCAAAAGGAAAAGACAGATGTATACAATAAAAATAATTCATCACAGTATGTCATTTCATGTGATAAACCACAGAAATAACTGATGAACTGTATGTCTATAACAAGTAATTTGTCCATGTCACATGCCGTCTGCCTGCTTCCATGCCAGCGTAGAACACACACGTGCATTTAAATGCACTGAGTGCTTCAGAGAGGTGTCATTAACAAATAAATAGCAAAAGTGACACAAAAATATTACCTTCTTTCCCACTGAAACATGGAATTTTTTCCCTAAAATATGTTGGCTTAAGGTAGACAGCAGTTCATACTTAGCCTAGGTACAGGGCCTGATGCTATCCAGAAAATTTAGTCAAAGGAGATATACAACTCTGGGAAAAGTTTGTTGCTTTGGGGGGTTTCTTTGTAAGAAATACATACCTTTTCCTTTAGCTTGGGATAATCTTCGTATATAGGAACAGAAAAATCCTAAATCAAATCTTCAGATGAGGAAATGTAGCAGAGCATCATTTTAAGTTGAGCCTATCAGTTTAGTCCCATTATGAATTTGTTCCCATGACATTATTGATGGCAACTCAAATCACAGTTAAATGTTTGAGCTTTTGGAGTTTGCTTACTCACTTGGCAACAAGTAGCTAAATTGCTGACACTAAAAATTTGTAAAATAATAAATAATACTAAATTAAGTTTTCAAAAGAGAATTAAACAGTACAACTAAAAAGGATAAACCCCCAGCATTTAAAAAAGTGTTTTTCTGTGAAGCCTTTGACACAGCATATACTGAATATATGAATGTGTAATATAGTACAGGAACACCAAAATAATTCATTTGTGATTTTATCACATATGTGAACTGTTGCCAACACCAATTAATTTTGATAAACATCCCATGAGGGAGTACATGTGTTGGAGCCATAGAAAAGTAACATGCACGGCTTACAGCGATATAAAGAGATGGTTTTTGTGAGAAACTCCATAGAGGATGAAATTCTGGCCTAGTGGAAGTCAATGTCCAAAATTCCACTGAATTCAGTGAAGCAGCCTCTCCATATAATGTATATTTATTTGGATTTTATTATGTGGGCAGACCAGAAGGTGAATGTACCTTAATTTACAATTTAAAAAATGCCACCAGTGGAGATTGGCTTCACTATCAAATAGGAACAATTGAAAGGTGGGAAGAATGCAGTTTTGTTTCTGTCAAAATAGCTGGCATTTGTATGTTTAAAACCAGGAACTTTGAAAAAGGAAGCTCCTAATTTGAAAAACTTTTTTTTCCTGTTATCAGCAGAAATACTTTTTTGTTGTTGTTGTTAATTAAAAAACCCTTTTCTGAACATATTTTGGTGGAAATTTCAAGCTTGTTATGGGGAGTTGAAGAACATAGGCTTGGTGAATATAAAATTCACAAATCTCATTAGGTAATTCTGCTCATGGCAGCTTACATTCTACATAGACTGCAGCTGGTCTGTGAGACTGGCTGCAAGTCAGTGTTGGGGGAGGAGGGAGGATTTTATACCCATTTAACTGTAATCTCAGTAAAATATGGTATTTTTAATGTGATTTCCTCCTGTGTCCCAAGACTGCAATATTGTTTCCTGTGTTTCAGACTGGATTTAATTTCCATGATCAACCATGAAACCAGGTTTTGTAATGGAAGGGGTTGTAAATGCTTCAGTGTATCAGATCCTGTACTGCACACTTTTCTTGGGCTCTGAGTGCTGATGGGAAGCATAAGAAGAGCCTGTGCTGGTTTAAGCCAGAAAAGCTGCTCTTTTGGCTGGAGGGTAAAGCACTCCCTTGCGAAGTTGGGCACCCGGTTCTACTCCCATCAACCTTTTGTTCCTAGATGTAATTTACAGCCTGTGTCCTGCAGAGTGTTAGGAAGATGAACAATGGCTCCTAGTTGTTTACTTCTGAAAAAGGCAACAACCCAGATCACCCGCGTGGATTCGTCAGCCTGTTTTACTGGTTTGCCCCAGATCCCTAAACAACTCACTAATCCAACACAGGCAAAAATCTTAACAGCCAGAATCGTTCAAGTAGGCCATAAGGAACTCTGCAGCAAGGATTTTCCTGTGGCAGACCGTGTGGCCCCATCAGCTTTCTCATTCCTAGCACTGTCCCAAAGCACGGGCTCCCTGGCTGACCCACATGGCTCCCTGCAGAGCACAGGCAGGACATCACCGCACCAGCCCCTATTCACGACTTTCACACCACTATACCCAGCTGGTTACTACGCTGCTGTTGGGAGATGGGGCAGGAAAGCTGCACGCAGCAGCTGCCATCAGATGTCCAAGCTCATAACACAGACATGCTGAATGCATTAGTGACTAATTCAGCCACAGTCAGCTGTGTAGAGGGCTGGGGGGTGGGGGCAGTACAGGTGGGACTACAGAACTGAGGGGAGAAGGGGAGACACATTTTCTCCGTAGATGGTTTTAGTCTGTCTCTGCACCCCACTCCCCCTGGCCAGCCCTCCCAGCACACGCTGTGCAATGAGTACCTGGAAACCGATATATTAGAGCATGACTGACCATCTTTGCGCTAAGTATTCCATATTTCCATTGCTGTTTATTTCATTTTCAGTTTAACAATAGGTAAATCAAGCTTATACTGGACTGTCTCCAGGATGTGCTCTTTCTTGTCTCTGTCACTCTTCTCCCCACTGTCTTTCCATTCTCTTCCTTTTGATTTTGCTTCATGACTTCTACTTTACCTTCTCTCCCTTGTCTCCACTCATTTCTTCTTCTTCTTAGCCCCCATCATTTCTCATCCACTCTCCCTTCCATGTAGCATGTTGGAATAATTAAATCAAATATTTAAAATTCCAGCAGAGCAGGTGAGCTTTC